ACCTGCCTGCGCCTTGCACCTACATCCGTTTTGGGGGAACGTGCCTGGATATGTTCACAGGAACCTTGGGGCTAGTGGTCGGTGGTGGTTGATGTGGCACGCGGCATCCTGCGCATCAACCTCTTGTCATTCTGGAGCCTCCACTCCACATTTCCACTGTGTCTTTGTTCCCCAGCTCAGGTGAGTCTTGCCCGGCTTTGTCCACATCGCAGACGACCTCTTCAACCTTGCTACAGTTCAGTACTGCAAAGGTCTCACTGCCCTGGACCTCAGGGATGGAGCCACCCTGCGTCACTGTGAAGAGCTGTTGGATGTCACAAAAGCTGAGCTAGCTAACCTCTATGTTCCCTGTTCCTCCTGGGAGTCAGTTGGCTAGTTTCCTAGAAACTGAGCTGATTATCAAACTGAGACTGTGTTGCCTGGAGCTGCAGAGGTGGCTTCTGATAGCATCCAGTTACATCCAGTCAGTGGTCCGACCGACACCTGCTCCTGGTTCCTTGTTTCCTGTTTAGCTTCCTGAGGTCACTGTTCACCAGCACCGCAGTCCCATCTCTGGTTCCCAGTTCCACTGTCCCGACAGGGTCTCCAGTTTGTCTGTCCAGTTGCCTGCCCAGTCGTTGGTAGCTAGTAGTCGGTCGCTGTCCGGTCACAAGTCCTTTGCCTGGCTGTCCAGTTGCCTGCCCAGTCGTTGGTAGCTAGTAGTTGGTTGCGTCCGGTCACAAGTCCTTTGCCTGGCAGTCCCATCACTGGTCCACAGCTTTGCAGCCTTGTTTCTGGTTCCCTGTTCTACTGCTTCACTGCTGGCCTTCAGAGGCCGCCAGCTTCCTGCTTGGTCTCTAGTGGGTCTCCGTCCTCGTTACGGCCTTCAGATGGGTTCCGGCCCGATAGCCAGTATCCTACCCGACTACTCTGGAGAAGTCTCGCCCTCAATGCCAGCCTCCAGAGGTATCCAGTCCTTGTCCCAGGCCTCTGGCCTGCCCTGCTGAGGGTTTCTGCCCTTGCTTTTGGCCTCCTGGTCGACCCCATAACCTGGCCGTCCCTCCTTCTCAGCCTGACAGCATTCAGGTCAACCACCACAACTGTCGAGCTCCTCTGTCCTGCCTTCAGGTTTTCTGCCCCAGCACTGGGTTGCACCGACTATGTGTAAGTTCAAACTTAGCCTAGTTTAACTTTATGTGCTAACGTTTTAAGGGTTGCACCAGCTGAAATATGTCCAACGTAGACAAAGTTACAACTTAAATATTACACCTAGCCCTTAATAGGTGTAAAGTCCTCCATAAAAAAACGTTGAGCGGTTGTCATGGCGCATCGTTTTGAAAGGGGGATAACTTGAGGAGCAAATTATGCAGGCTGTTTTGCGTAAGCAACGCGTTCTCAGTGATAGATTACCCTTTGGACATTTATGATGATATTGATTTGTACTCACGCTTTGGTTTTCCATGCACGGAGATACTGAGGATTACCGACCTGCTAGCAGTTGACTTGCAACACGACACGGACAGAAACGGTGCCTCAGTCCTTCCCTACAAGTGTGTCTGGGACTGAGATATTTTGCTACAGGATTTCATTTCAAAACTTGGTTGGTGATTCAAATCAAGTGCATAAATCTACTGTGTGTAGAACAATAAGAGCAGTTTCACTATCACTATGTCAGCACTTTAATGACGTTAAAAAAAAAAGTTTCCAACTCAACCTGAGCAACAAAATATGACCTGTCAGAAGCTCTACCAGATTTCCCGACATACTTGGCTGCATAGATGGCCCACATCAGAATCAAGGGACCCAAAATACATGAGAATGACTCTGTAAACAGGAAGGGATACCACTCAATCAACTCTCAGATTGTATGTGATGCCGACCTTGTTATTACCAATGCTGTAATCAAATGGCCTGGGGCAAAGCATGACAGCTTCATCCTCAAGCAGTCTAGCCTTTGGAGAGACTTTGAGGCAGCAAGTTACCCCGGGAGGTTTCTTGGAGACTCAGGGTATCCACTGAGAAAATGGCTCATGACCCCATACCTAAACCCAACAAGTGTCAGTGAGCAGCGCTACAATTCAGTGTTACAATAAGTAACATGCACAATGACGACAGGTAGCCTTCCCTAGCCTATTCGTGCCGCAGCTAATATCTGTCTTACTTTGGTCATATAGGCGTCCTAATGGAGCCTGACAGAGCTGTAGCTGGTGCCTGCGTTGTCCTTCACAACCTGGCAATGATGTGGAAAGTACCGTTGATGGAGGAAGGAAATGCAAACGATGGGGCTGACATTCCTTTCGGCAACGAGGACCCAGTACCGACTGAGGCTGCCACTGTCCCGGCCTACCTTACTGCTTCCTATTTTGGATGAGCTGCTAATCAAACGTCTCAAAAACATAAACAAAATTAGCTACTGCAATAAGTTTATTTAGCAGGTTTTCTTTATATACAACACAACAACAACAATAACAATAACAACACAATCATCCAAAATGTTGAAATATTAAACTGTAAATAGTCTAAATAACAAATAAATAACACATTTCAAAAATCTAATATGAATAATAATAATAATATATTATAAATTATATTATATTATATATATATATATTTATTATATTGATATATTTATAAATATTTATAAATGAATTTGGAACTCGGAATGGTTTATTTTTCATTCTTTATCTCTGCATGTTTAGACCAAATTCATAATAGTAAAATAGATTAGTTATTCCTTACATTTTTTGCTGTCTAAAATAGCCTAATAGTGACAGTGTGACAGAGGAGTTGACTGTTTGCTATGGCTCATGTGAAAGTGTGATGTGTATCCTGTGCTTTAAGATCTTCTTATTAATATTTTAATGTTTAACTTAATTTTTTCAAGCTCAATTTTTCTTTTTGCTTTAAACTTTAGTGTTTTCTGTGCGAGCTTCTCAATTTCAGCTGTATATAGTTGACATCTCAGTGTGTTCACATCCTCTTCTGTGCCAGGAGCAGGAAGCCTTCTGCTGCCTTTAGCGCGCTTAGCTGGTGGTGGATGGCTGCTGGACTGAGACGACTGTGTAGGTTGTTTTGGTCACATCTGATCCAGTAAAGGTGGGCTCTGGCGGTTGGAGGGATGCTGGTTCAAGCAGACATGCTTCTGCAGATGGGGGGAGAAGTTGTTCAGCTGTATGAGAGGGGGCTGGTGCTGCTGCTGGTGGGAGAGATGTAACTGAAACCAGCGCTGCGCTTCGTTTGCTGGTCCACTCTCAACCCCACCGAAAATGCCAATCAATGAGGGGGAGTCCTCTCACAACTAACACTAGCGCTGAGTATGGCCCCATGTCTGGCTTTGGTCCACCTCCTGTTGGGACATTTCGTGGAAAGTCCCAAAGGCTTGCATTTTTAGGTCGCTCAGCTTCTTCCTCCATCTTTTACCTCCCTGTGCTCCACACCATTTGCATTTATGGTGTCCGTTATATCCTCCCATATTTGTTGTTTCCGTTTATTTGTTACAAAGTTGTTAAATTTCGATTCCAATGAGTCTTTGTTTTGTTTATATTTTGATAGCAGGATCATGATTTCTTCATGTGTAAAGTTTTTTTTTCTTGCTCTACGGTCAGAAATGGTCAAATCCCTGAAACAGTACACCAACATTAACTTAATGTCAGCATATCATTACAGTAGCTAGGCTAACTAAACTTGACATTAGACACTAACATTATAGTGTTGGCAAGCAAATATATGGGTCACATAACTCTATAACTAACAACTAGGTCTACTAATTTATAACAGTTTGCTTGTGGTTTATTGTTATGTGTTCGTTATAATGTTACAATTTCATCTGTCCGTTGTAGGCTATGTTACCGTTCGTTCGGTATAGGTACCGTTATTACGCCTATGTTGTAGTAAACGGTTTACCACTTGATGTCACTGTTGGACTGTATATTAAGGTTTCAGAGTTATCACCTAATCATAATCCTTTGTCCTTGTTTACGTACCTTATTGTTGGTGTTTGGTGATTAACAGCTATTTTAGCCGTTAGCCTCTTCAGTATTGGAAAAAGTTGAAAGAGAGAGAGACAAACGGGCGAAAAAAACTTAATAGATGCTCTAGAATAGTGCTGTTCACTGATTGGCCATGGGATGCGTAAATGTCATTTTCTGCGACATGTTTTGATTAGTATGGACTTTACGGCAGAGTAGCTAAGATGAACCTTACGTCTCGGTGGTGCAACCAAACATCGACACAACTTAAGTCTCAAACTAACTAGTTTCAACGTATTGTTCAGTGTGGACTTAAGGTAGAACTTACGTATTGCTGGTGCAGGCTGCTGGATTTTGAATGATGAATTGAGAATCATCCAAGTCTGCATCGTGATGCATCTAAGAATGAATTATTTTCCAGACCCCTACCTGTCAACTAGCCCCCAAACCAGATCCAGATCCTTTACAGACAGACTGTAGGACAGACACACCACACAGACAGGAAATAAAAATCTCAGTAGAATGTACATACCATAGAATAAAGAGAATAGATGGCCACCAGGGTCAGAGGAAGGCCGACAGCAAGGACTATGCATGTCACTACGTATTGGATGAGACGAAGTTTTTTGAGATACTCATAGTGCTCATTGTTATTCTGGTAGTTGAAGGTGGTGCTGCTGTAATCGTAGCTTTGGTCCTGTGAGCTGCTGTTAATGTGGAGACCTTCCATTCTTCAGAGTGAAACCTGTTTGAGAGATCAGGTTATTAAAGGGAGCAGGTTTTTAATATCTACCTAACATTGTTCAGTGACATCACTAAAGCTGTGAGGTGAAGTTCACACAAACACAGTGTAACCTATATTTACCCACAATCATATCAAATCACAAACTGCTGTCTTTCACTTTCTATCATCATTCCTCAACATTTGTCACATTTAACTTTTATTTAATGAAATAAGAAAAGAAGAACAAATATCTGTACGTGCTGATGTGAGGTCGTTACTGCAGCCACAGAACATCGTCCAGCTGTTTCACTAATTAATGTTTAATGTTAATGCTCATTGGTTTAGGACATCCTGCCTGTCTCCTGTACTCGATGCCCCTCTGCCCTCTGAGTTTGGATCAGGAGGTTTACATGATGATTAATCCACTTGACAGGGGACAGACTGTGCACTCTTCCTTGTTGGTGTTTGTTCTGACATTATTTCTGGAACAAACACTTGATGCATATTGTTGGGATCACAGGGACCTCACAGATGAAGTCACTCAGCTCTCAGCTACGATTGGCCGGTGACCTGTGACCTATGATGTCACCTCATTAATAAAAACTCCAACGCAGCGTCGGTGTCTTCGCTTCTCTGCTGGATGTGACGGCTGAAGCCGCCAACCTGACGGCGCAGCGGCCTCCCAGCGTGGCCCGCTTGGAGCAGAACATAAAGTCCTGCTATAGATCCCTGCCACCAGCTGAGTTAGCCAAGCTGCTAACTCTGAGGAGAACAGACGAAGGGCCAGACCCTCTCATCTGGACGATCCGAACACGACAGAGCAAAAGACTGAACGGACCTGCCGGCTAACAACTAGCAAGACAACCCAATGTCTTCCTCTATGGATCGCTAACGTAACTGGGATTATACAGCTTCACAGAGCTGAACTGTTGGAGCATTAAAGCCTTTAGATCACACAGCGGGAAATTTAATGTGAATTAGATCAGATTAATTCTCTGGGAGGAGTTTGTTAAAGTATGGAGTTTTTTGTAAGCCTGGACCTGATATATCTGCCACAACCATTTAGCACATTCTGGTGAAACGTGGTCCGGGGGCTGCTTTTTAGGGGGCGCCCATCCATGAAAACCATGTGACACGTACATTTCCACAACGTTTACATTTTGTGCAAAGTTTGAGTTGTTGAGCTTGTTTCATGCTCGGGCCCTAATTAATTAATTAAGGTAAATACTTTTTCATAATGTTATAATATCATCAAACTTTATCATACTAGGATCAAACTATTCTTTAACATTAAAGCAGGTTAATCACATCAAATTACTTAAACTAAATAATTCTAAACCAGTTAAGAGTGTTCAGAACAGGAGGAAATCTGAGGTTTTTGCTCACAGGGATTTCTTCTAAATACTTTAACCTGGTTTTTTTAAGCTTTGGCCATGTTTAACATGAACATCCAACATTATAACATTGTAGATAAGTCATAAAATGTGGAAGCATAAGCAGTCTCCTTTACATTATATTACATTTACAACATATATTTGTCACATGTAATACATTTCACAAATTTTATAGAACTGATTTCATCACAACCAACAAACCCTATCTCTGCTGGCAGGAGTCTCACTTCCTGTTAGTCTTCCATGGAAGGTTCCTGGTTAGGCCACAAACTGCTGTGTGTCAGACTTTCCATCATTCGTCATCTATTCTTCTAAATAGGGAACATCCTCTTCTTTTCTTAAGCTTTACTCCAGGACAAGGCTCAGTCCCCCCTGCACAGGGCAGCAGCCTGCTTTTGCTGCTTTGTTACTCAGTTTCAAGACACCTCTAATATCTCAGAGACACTTTAGCTTCTTGTAGTTTAACTCAATAAAAAAACATGGCACCATCTACCAGCCAGTTACTGGTAAAATATGCAAATGTCTGCTAGATTACTTCATCAGCAGCTAAAAACAATGGTAATCTACTGAGTGGTAGACTTTGAGCGTTTACTGGCTGGTGGACAAAACAGTTCATTTAGCACCCTGCCTGTGTACAGACAGGAGAACCAACTACTGTTTTTTCTCCAGCCACGCTGTCGCACGCGCATACGAGTAGGAGCCATTATACATTCCCCCCCACTTTTCTCCGGCTATTTCGTAGTTGGCTCATAACCGAGGTGGTTTACTATGAGTGACTAGTGAATCAGTCACACTCTCCGCATCTGAATTAGCCTAAATAAAGGGTTGAAATGCGGACAAAAATCATGCAGCCTATAGAAAACATGCGACAGAAGGCAAAGCTAAGTTAAGGGAGAAAAAGAAGAGTTTGCTCCAAAGTGCCTCAATATTAGGCTACAGGCTTTTCTTTTGTGCTGCTGTTACTTATAGCCTACCTGAAGACAGTACTGAGGACGTCTGCAGCAGGGTGGGTAGTGACTTGTTACAAGTAGCCTAATGCAAATTAGCAAAATGACTAAATAAAGTCAGTACTCCAGTATTTTCTTTAGGCCAGTAATCTACATTTAATTTTGCTCTGCAGAGCAAACGTAGACTTCACACTGTAACATCTAAGTCTGATGATCACTGGATTGATTCTGATATATTATCAGTTTCCTGTTGTTGAAAAGAGCATCGCTTTCTTTTGATGGATGTTCGCCTGTTTCTTTTCACCTCATCATCATCAGTTACTATGTGTTTTATAGCGCTGTCCGACGTGAGTCCATAAACAGAAGCTCGCCGGTGAAACTAATCTTGGCTTTCACTCAGCAGCTACCAGCTGTTATTTATTCAGGAAACAATCATTTTGAGATGCACAGAGAGAGCAAGAGAAAGTCTGGGTGGATAAAACAGTCCTGTTGGGCTTTACGCATGACGCACAGCTTCCTTGATGCAGGCTTACCTGCTTCAACAACGAGCTCCCGAGTTTCTGCCACAATAATTATCTGTGTTGTAAAGATTATTTAGATGCTTTAGGAATAATCAGATTGTATTGGCTGCCTGTGTTATTGCAAAGCAAGCGGCTTGGTTGGTTATATGTCCATAATAAAAGATACAGGCAACAATAGTGGCTGGGCAGCAAAGTGATCTGATCAATACGTTCATAGAGATTTATAAAGGAAAATGAATGTTTTAAACTTGCCAAATTACAGTAATAAAGAAGCAAAGCAAACTGCATTCCCTTGAAAAATAACCATGGTGCACAGCAGATGAAATACATATTTAAATATATAGTAGATTGAGTAATTGTACTTTTTCTTGAGTGAAGATTGTTAGTACTCTACCAGCCTAGTACTCTACTTTATGTTCAGATCCTCCACAGGACAGAGAGAGGCCCCTGATAACAAGCTAGTTTCAATATCAGGTTCTGGCCTACCTCAGTATCAGAAGTCTAACTCCAGACTTTCCTTGCCGTCCCCCGTTTCTCATCAGGGAGTAGAGTATTCAAACACAACCTGGAACGAGTTCCTAGACTCCAGATCTAGAGAATAAGACCAGTGTGGCCCTCGGCTCAGTGTGTGGCAGTGTGGAAGAACCTTACCTTGCAGCAGGAGGAGGAGGAGAGGAAAAATAATCTTTGAGATTCTTTACTCAAAGTGTCTTTTATTAAAGTACAATCAGCAAAAAAGAAAAGAACAGAGCAAAACAGCGTCGACCGGAGTTCTGCTTTTTCAAAATACCAGAAACTGCAACTTCTATACAGACACAGACAGGATGTGACAGAACAGCTCATGATGTATATTTGCTGATTGGTTGATCTCTAATGTCCATGGAAATGAGTCACCTGTAAGAGGTCTGTTATTCATATCACACCAAATATGGTACACATGAACACAGAAAATATCCGCCCGCCTGTTTCTGCAAATGCATTCTCCTCACTTCTCTTAAAGTTAAAAAATGTCAATGATAAAGGAAATACAGTAAATATTATATTAAAATGGTAAAATCATGTAGTTGAGCAGGCTAAACAGACGGAATTACTTAATTAAAGCAAGGTCAATCACATAAAACTGCTAAAATAAGTAATAGCAGTACTTTATACTGATACTGTTTGTCAAGTAAAGTACATTAAAAAATTGTTGGTAATTCAGCATCCTTAATCACTTATTATTTGTCATACTTGTTACATTCTTAAAACATCAAATACATTTCACACATTTTCTAGAGCTGATTTCATCATAACCAACAAACATCACCCTGTGGTCTCTGCTGGCAGGAGGCTGACTTCCCGTCAGTCTTCAGTGGAAGTCTCCTGGTTAGGCCACAAACTGATGTGTGTCAGACTTTACATCATGCCTTTAAACCAAAAGTCATCTTCTATCATTTAAATATATTTTCGCTACTCTTGACAACCCAGCTATATGCTAACTTTGAACAGGTTTGAGCAGAGGTGTTCACGAGAGAGAGAGAGGGCGACTGAACTCTTGGTCAGCTTGGTCATGCTAAACATTCATGGCAGAGAGAGAGAGAGAGAGAGAGAGAGATCTCATCTTATGGAAACAGCTTTCTGCCACTACATATCAAAGTTTCCTCCTCACTAGAGGAAGAGGTGGCCAGGCTGGACCCTGATCCTTCTCACAGGAGGTGTTACAATAAGTATCACAGCAGAAAGTAAACTCAACATGTCTTTATTCCCCTGCAGCAAAGTCGCAGACATCAGCCCAAGGATCGGTACGTAGATGTCACCGTCACAGGAAGCACTTCTGCTGCACGTACAGGTCCATGTGTGGCGGTGGCGTCACTTACTGAGCCTTCAGAAATACTTGGGAAAATGTAACGTGTGGAAGCTACCGCACTACTTGGCCAATAAAAGAGCTTCGTTACTGAAAAGCTGGTCCAATTTCTTGTAGTAAGTATACTGTGATTTTTCCCTCCCAGCCTCATACTCACCCATCCCAGAGCGACGTCCCATGACGTCTCTCACTAACACAGAGTTTTCATGTCCATACAATAGAGAGCATTCTGAAGGACTGCTCAGGCTGTGTGTTATATCAGTAAATGTGTTTTTTTAGCTGAAGTATCTTTTGGTCAATGCAGATCGGTTTTCTCTACATTTACATTGCTTTGCATGCTTTCTTATTGTGCCAAAAAAACTTTCTCATACGACTCAAGTTTGGTATTGAACATTTTTAACAAATGCTTTCAAAAAGTGTTGTGGTCCCTAGCGTCCCCAGTGTAAAAGACACCTCTGCAGGTGGGAGAATAGATTTTTCTCATTTTCTGATGTTTAGTGTTAATCACCGTCTAACTCAGCCAGTTAGGAGCAGCATGAAGCCTTAGATGTAACATGAATCTGGTCCCTGGAGCACAGGTTTGATCAGCTGGCAAGTTTCAATGCACATTTAAGAGTGCACGTTGCAACTATTATTAACAATAATGGAGAGCTGAGGCTCAGTAGCAGAAATAGCATTTGTGCAGTTCTATCACCGACACTCTACTTCTACTACTGTAGACACACACACCACATTAACGTTAGTGAAGTCAACTAATAATAGATGCGATTCAATAGACTGACAGTGCTGTTAAGTTCCGTAAAGGTTTCTGTTACGTTCACTCACCAGGTAATGGTACGACAGCGTGTCATCATGTCATCTGCTGCAGCTGCAGGGTCACCAAAACACTGAAAGAGTGGAGTTTGAGTTTGCTTGTGTTTCACATCTCCTTCACTGAGTCACGTTAGTTCATGTCAAACTGGCGCAGAGTGACCGCCACACTTTTCGTTTTGGGAGATTTTTTTTATTAATAAACTTTATTGGAATTCAATTTACAAACAGTCAGACATTCCAGCTTATAAACACAATATAGAGGCGGTGATATAGAAGGAACAATTGTAGACAAAAGATGATTCTAAGTTTCTTGGTCTGTTTTACAAAAGGTGAAATTTTTATCAACAAGCATGAATTTCAAGATAAACATGTTAGTTGGATACGTATTGTGCAAAATTGTCAAATGCAATTCTCTGACTTTGTAATGCAGAATCTAAAGTCATGCCTTGCACCAATTAAAGAGAAAATTTCAGAAGAAATTGCCACAAGGAGTTATTTTCTTTAAATTTAAAAAGCATTTTCTAACATGTGTGTTTGCTGCTCAAAATATCAATATTATTTATATAAAGATTACATGTCAAACTGCTTTTCATTAGCTTGGATAAACCATTAGGGTTAGATTTAAAGACTGAGCTATATTCTCTGAATGTTATTGGGAATGAATTAATTGACCACATGTTGAATCGTGGACGCTGAGGGAGAGAGCAGGGTAAACAAGTTTAGTCAGGAGGATTCTGCCCAGTGTTGAAATGTTTATTTGAAGCCATAAGTTCACTTCTGTTTTAGTCTTCTTCAATTTGGGAGAGAAGTTAAGTTGCTGACGTTCCATGTGGTCCTTGTAGGTATGAGTCCCTAGATATTTTACACATTTCCTGACAGATATATTAAACAATTGCTTTTCATCAGTCTGATACAAACATAGAATTTCACAAATAAGATTTGTTAAGTGTTAATCCGGAAGCAAAAAGAGCTGCATCATCAGTTAACTGGGTCAGTCTCATTTCCTTTAATAATGGGATTATGTTGAATATGTAAGGAGAGTAATTCAACCACCAGCAGGAACAAAAAAGGTGAAAAAGGACAGCCCTGGTACACTGATCTGAGTACAGGAAATCTTTTTATGGTATTTTGGTACAAAATAACACAACTGTGGATATTTTCATAAAACATTTCAACAATAGATCTTGTTATTAAGTTTTCAATTAGAGTTTGGTCCAAAATCAAATGTTTGGAGCTTTGAATAGGAAGTAGTGGTCTCCAGTATCAAATGCGTTATAGAAATCCTGAAATACAATCAGTGCGTCGGTGTTGATGTTATCAGAATAATAATAATAATAATAATCTTTATTTGTAGAGCACTTTTCAAAAACAAGTTACAAAGTGCTTTAACAAGTGTAAAGAAAAAAATACCCAAGAGACAATAATACAGAAACAATACAAAATAAAAGCATGAAAACATTGAAAAGACTAAAATACATGTTTAAGATAAATATAAAATTAGATATACAATATAAAATACAATCAAATAAAAGGGATAAAATAAAGTCGAATAAGATCGGGAAAGGCTCTCCTATAAAAGTATGTTTTAAGAAGGGACTTGAAAGAGTTCACTGACTCAGCCGACCTGATTTCCTCGGGCAGGCTGTTCCAGAGCCTCGGGGCCCTGACAGCAACGCTCTGTCCCCTTTAGTTTTCAGTCGAGACTCTGGAACAGACAACAGACCTCTGCCCGAGGATCTCAAGGTACGTGCTGGTGCGTATAGGACTAAAAGTTCAGAAATATAACAAGGCGAGAGGCCATGAAGAGCTTTAAAAGTGATCAGTCAATTCTAAAACATACTGGGAGCCAGTGTAATGAAGCTAAAATAGGAGTAATGTGGTCATACTGTATTTCTTTGTTCTGGTTAAAAGCCTGGCAGCTGAGTTCTGGACAGTCTGGAGTCGATCAATAGATTTTTGGGTTAAACAGGTGAAAAGGCTGTTGCAATAATCCAGGCGTGATGAGATGAAGGCGTGTAAAATGGTCTCGATGTCCTTAAAAGTTAACATAGATCGAATTTTTGCTATATTTCTAAGTTGATAGAAACATGACTGAACAAGCTTTGTGGTGTGCTGCTCGAAATTTAAATTACTATCAAACCAAACACCAAGGTTCTTTGCCACAGGCTTAATGTGATTTACTAGGGAACCAGCAGATGGCAGTATTTGATTTGCCATCTGCTGAGACCCGATGACCAGGATTTCTGTTTTGTCTGAGTTCAGCTGGAGGAAATTATTTGACATCCATTTTTTAACTTCACAAAGGCAGTTGTTAAGTGAACTCAGCATTCCAGGGTCTGTGGATCTGACGGGCAAGTATATTTGTGTGTCATCAGCATAAATATGAAAAGAAATGCCATGTTTATGGATAATATGTCCAAGGGGAAGCAGATACAAGGAAAACAAAATGGGTCCTAAGACCGACCCCTGAGGCACACCATATTTAACTGGACAGAACGAAGAGACATAGTTGTTTACAGACGCAAAACTTCCTATTTGACAGGTAGGATGAAAACCATTCTAGGGCAGTACCAGAGATCCCCACCCAGTGCCTCAGTCTGTCTAACATGATGTTGTGATCAATGGTGTCAAAAGCAGCGCTAAGGTCCAGGAGTACCAGGACTGAGCACATGCCTTCATCAGCAGACATTAAAAGGTCATTGGTGACTTTAAGCAGGGCAGTCTCAGTGCTGTGGTACTTCCTGAAACCAAACTGAAACTTTTCAAATAATTTGTTATTTTCCAGTACAGTGAGCAGCTGTTTGGACACAATTCTTTCTAGAATCTTTGCAATAAAAGGCAGTTTTGAGATTGGTCTAAAATTATGTGGGAGGGAGGGATCTAAACCAGGTTTCTTTAAAAGTGGGTTCACGCAAGCCGTTTTAAAATAATCAGGGACACAACCAGTAGATAGAGCTGTTAAAAACAGAGATCAAATGGGGCCCAACAGAATCTATTACTTTCAGTAAAAACTTTGTAGGTATTACATCAAGTGGGCTGGAGGACACTCTCATTTGTGATACTGTTTTTAAAAGCTCAGATAAGTCGATGGGATGAAACTGGTTAAAACTCTCTTGTTGCTGGTGA